GTAGCTCCATCATCATTATTCTACCGCATCCCCCCCCGAGGAGTGAGACAGAGCCGAGACCGAGGCCGGACCGGGCTGGGGGAGAAAACAGTGTAGAACCAGAGCGCCAGGACCTGGGAAATGCACACAAGTGATATTTGTGCGCGCAGATCAAAAAGCATTTACCTTTAGATGTTTCCCTGATATGAATATTCAACATCCTTATTGAAATCTAATTTGGGTCTCCTTGTCTCAGGGGTCTTTTCATCAGTGCCTGTTGCCTGAGGCCAAAGCTGATTGACAGCCAAACTTTAGTAAAGAGCAAGCAGGAAAAAAGGGGAGATCTGGTGGTGTTGGAGATGTGAGCGGTGTGAAGCCGGGGGAGAGCTGGAGCAGATGAGTGTATAGGGGTGGTGTGGGGGGGGGTTGGATGGGGGGCAGAGGGGGGCGGGGTATTTAACCTACCCGTGTGCATGCACAAACAGAATGCTGCAGATTGTGAAGGGCTGTAACAAAGACAAACAGAGCTACAACATTTCATCATCTTCCTCATGTGTAAATCACATTCATCGCAGTTTAACCTTCCTGTTTAAGTTATTGTTCTGTTTGCAATTGAGGATCATTTGATAAGTCAAAAAGTCAATCAACAGAAAATGTGTCAGCAGCTATTTTGTAAACTGATAAACAGATTTAGCATTTTAGTTTTCAAGAATTTTAAAGCAGTAATGCTGAATTATCTCTCATCACTTTGTCTAATATGAGGATTTGTTGCTCTTCTGTGATGCAGAATTGTTAACTGCAAAATCTAATAAAGACATTTTTTTAAGAAGAAGTCCCTTTGATTTTGTGAGACTTTAAATACAGTTTTTACTTTAGTCATACATATTGGATATTGAGTGATGAATATAATTGAAAAACACACAAAAAGATGAATCAACAGATCATACAAATTTTTAAGTTGTTTATTTAAATCAAATATTGACTTTTGAGCTGTTTTCTCTTGCATAGAAGACATAAAAGGATGCACTGTATGTATCAAATCAAATATGCTTGCATTTATATTTCACAAAATCTGCTTATAGTGAGTGTGAATGATTTGTTTGATTAATCGTTTGGTCAGTCAAAATAATGCATCTGCAAAACATGTTAAGTTAAGCAAAACAGTGTCACATCTTTCTGGTTCAGGCTGTTGGATGTTGTGAAAATGTGCTGCTCTTCTTTGTCTTATGAAATAGTAAAATGAGTGACGGAAATCTAATTTTGTCCTTAACATTTCATAAACCTAATGACTAACTGAGAAAATACTGAGACGACTGAGTGGTCAGGAAAATTACTCTGAGTGGCAACAACTAAAAATATTTATATATAATCAATTAATTGTCAGAGGGATATGTAACTACAATTTGCAGCAATACACTGTAGAAACATTTACATTTAACTAAAAGATGTATAGCTTTTATGTGAGGACTGGGGAGATTTACTATATTTACACAGTTTTTCAGAGTATTTAATTTAGTCTCTTCTTGTCTTAAAACTGAGCATCTGAAGCTCGCTGCCAAAGGCAAAGCACCGTATTGTTGTCTAAAATTATATTTCTAAACATTTGTTCAGCTATTTGTCTCCATTTCTGACTAAGGACCTGTGAACCTCACAACAACTCATCTGGCAAAAAAAAAAAAGAAAAATACGTTGGTGCTCTTGTACTCTCTCTTTGACTGCAGGCAGAGATGGTCCACGAAGATGGAGTGCAGTTGTGTCTTTATTTATTTTTTCTGGCTTATATAATGGTGGAGACTCACAACTGCCTGAGCGCCCCCCCCCCCCCCCACTCCTGGTGCAAAAATGGATGCAGAAAATAGACATTTTTGAGAATCATCAACTGACAATGTTAGTTTCCGGAAAGTCAGTGGTGGATATTACATTGTTCTGCAAAGACTAATCGTCCTTTTACTGGAGGGGCTGAATTAAGATCAAGACTTAGCGCCATGTGCATCCACACAAACACACATGGAACACACACACCTTATCGCTGTCCTCATCTGGCCAGTGGGTTGAGCATGGTTTAATGTTATTATAGCGCAGGTGTGGGTCTCGTCCCTCAGGGTTCCATTAAAACGATGCCCCTCTCAATGGTGGCTCTATTTGCTCTTTAGATTTAACACAGGCCATATGTCTAGCAGGAGGCTAACAGCTGATGGGGTTTAATTGACAGAAATCAACATATTTGGTTGTGTGTGTGTGTGTGGTTTGCTAATGTGCTCGGGCTTCAGGGAATCCCTTTAAAGGGTCAATTATGTATCAGAACAGAGTTTGGAAAGACAGGAAAAGAAAAAAGAAAGAGGGCAGCAGAGAAGAGAGACAGACAGGGAGATGATGACAGCTAAAGGAGACTAAAGAGGAATCCACAATGGGGAAAGAGGAAACAGACACCGACTCAAAGCACCGCTTAGCATTGTAGGATACAACCCTGCACATCAACGTGTGCATACATTTCCTTCATTTTTGGAGCCAACATTCTTGTCCGTTCCAGGAACACCGCTGCGCACAGAGTGTTAAGTTCATGTTTCATCTGGCTTCACAGAGACATTGTCCTGGGCTGCAGTTAAATCATGTAAAATTACCTCTGTCACAGAGCCCATTTAGGCTCAGGAGGGGACCCAAAACAAATGAAAGTGTATCCAGTGCCGCGCCCTCAGACCCAATCAAACCATGCAAAACACTGAAATAATTAGATTGGACATTGCAGAACCAATTTATGTTCATTTTACAGAGATATTTCTTGGATATTTCTTTGAAAAGTAGTTCCAAGTCTTGAGGGATAACCCAACATTAGGCTAACAGGCGCAGCGCAATTAGCACATAAAACCTGTCAATGGCCTTCAATATCTCAGCCCTCTAAGGAGTGTGAGACTTATAGAGCTCCTGATCTACAACTACAAAGTGATTAATCCTCCCCACACAATGACCACTCTTAAACTGGGCCTCTATATCATTAGGTAGCCCTATATAGCACTTTAGCTCAGCGCTAATTAGCATTCAGATCAGGGGCCCCCGCAGAGGCAGCCCCTCCGCCACAGAGGAAGGACATAGGATGAGATGGCGACACAGTGAAATGTCATTAACTTGATGTTAATTACTAATTAATGGGGCGATTTCATTTACATGTATCTGTGGCTCTGTGATGGGGCCCTGCCTTTACTGGGTTACTCTAACCAGCTGACAAGTTGGGGGAGGGTTTATCTCCCCTGTCCTCTCCTCTGCTCTCCCCTTACACTGTTTCATCTCTGCTAATTAAATAGTGGGCCACTCATCATGATTATGTCTGCTTTTACAACATCATTTTCTGTCAGGGAGAGCACTCCATTAAGTGACTGACCACCTCTTTAACACCCAGGATGTTTTTTTTTTTTTTTCCTCTTCATGAACTGCACTTCAAAAACCAAAACCTACTGCCAACTCTCTGCTGACTTCTATCTGACTTGTTACTTTCACTCACTTGTGAACCCTCCCTTTTATTTTGCATCGCCACAGCAGCCACAAGCCACACGTCTCCATGGCAACCTGAGCTGCTCGGTCCCAGGAGAAAGGAGTGGGTTTGGTTGACTAGCGTCTGGCCGTTCACACGTGGGCAGTGCCAACTAGCCAACATGGCACACAGCATCCTGCCATATGGTGCCACCACATACGTCCTTCTAGCCCCGACTCAGGATCTCAGCCTGTGAGCCGCTGGTGTGAACGGGACAGACCTGCACCAGAGCCTGTTAAGCAGCAATCCACATGTAAAATTAAGTGTAAAGACACATTTTTTTATGTTTAATAGCAGGAAAACCTTCACTCTTCGGCTGCATACACAGTAGGTGTATAACAGTGCTCATGGGAGCAAAAAGGTTTAAAGTTAAGAGTCAGTTCTCTGTAAACTTCAGGGGGCTGCAACCAAGGAGGCGTCCATTGATTCTACATGAAAGAAAATATTTGAATTTGCTGGCCTGCCGACACCATGTGCTCTCCTCATCACTGATACAGTGCTGCCCCTCTGTGGCTCTGCAAAGGAATTGCATGCTGAAACTGTTACGCTGCATAACAAAAGTACACACAAATGTTGACAAAATATATTTTTATTCAAAAGTAATACAGGCTTTTAAATACAACATATCTTAAAAGCATAAGAATACTGCATTGTTATACCTTTTTTTTGTCAAACATATCTTGGATGTTATCAAAAACTATCCGTCAGAAAGCTTTCAGGGGAATTTGGCGAAAAGAACTGCGGCTTTATCTTACATAAAGTCGTAAGTTTTACAGAATGTTAATACATTAACAAAAAAAAAAGGGACAGGCTGGAGATGAAGGCAGGTGAAATGACATATATTTGCTGAAGTGGGTAAAACGGTAGAAGAATGTGGGGCATTGGTTTGACAAAAAAAGCTGAATAACTTGTCGAAGGCTGAAGCCCATAATCCGTTTCATCACGACAAAACAAAAATAAATACAGAATCACATTTACCTTTGGTATGCACTTAATTTTTAATATCATAATGAATGATTCTATATGGTCAGTAGATTTGTGATTTCTTACACAATGCGTTTGATGTAAAAAAAAAGAGTGACCCATACTCTCAATGACGGAGAGCAAAGATTTAAATAAATACAATTAATAATATTTTGTCACAACTAACCATGATGACGATGAAAGTAACATCACAATAAATGATATTTCAGAAATCAAATGTGTCCTGGAAAAATATGCAACCAAAGGATTTTTCCAAGTCATTTTTAAACAACTCATAGATCAAGAGCCAATGTGTCTTTGCATGTGAAGTCAAACTGAAGGAAACAAAAACTCGTACAAGGAAGGCAAAATGTTGATGGACAATAACCAATGAAAGACACTGCGTGACCACAGCGTGCATATTGTACTCGTCTCCCATAGCTTAAAATAGGCACAAAATAATGAATGCATAGATTCAAGGTTCACTTGTCAAGTGAACGTCTAGATTGAAAATGAAATCACCAAGTTGTTAAATTGTGCTGTGAAGAGTCGACCAAAGCTCAATTCTAAAAATAAAAAAAAAACCCACCTGAACACTCAGTTGAAGCTATGCAGCTAGCTTTATGTTGCTACTTACTTTGCTGTTACATCAACACTAAATATGTTCTCCAGTTAATCTCTGGTCCTGAACCCTTGATATCATTTACACAACTTTCACAAAGTCAGGAAGAGTCCGAGATGTAAAATTGTCACAAGACAGACACTAAATCTGGAAGCACAAAGAAAAAGGATTCCTGTGCTCACTATCTCCTTTACAGACACTTACAACACTTCCAGTCTAGCGCCACGGTAACAAGGACATCAAGTGCCATAACAAGAGTGGATCTTTGAGCAGAACAAGTTGGAAGAAAAATAATAAGAACCAATTTATCTCTCGCTAAACCAGGCTTCTCGGACGGCAGAACAGAAAGGAAGAATAAGTTAAAGAGAAAGGATTATTTATACTGCATCATCATTTTAATAAATAACTTTGATTTTCTGCCATCTTTTCTAATATATTTATTTCTTCTGTAGCCTCATTGAATACATTTCTTTCTTAAAATAAAAAATGGAATTGACAAAAAAATAAGCCAAATAAATATATAAGTACTCAAGATAATTGAGTGAGGTATTTTATATTACATGCAATCACGCTGAAATAAAATAGAAATATTTTACAACCTTTGGTCTTCCTATTTGAAATACATTATTCATGATGACAAGCGGGTACAAGCGCACTCAGTAAAAGTCTTGTAGATCGTTCTCGCCTCCTTTGAACTAAAACAATATTAACAGCTTGTAACCATGGCGATGGGGACTGTAGAAGGTAAATGGTACAGGACATTAGAGCGCCCGCGGAGTAATTAGCAGCTGGGTAATGAGCTGTCATTCAGACAGTGCTCTCAGTGATGGCTGAGTGGGGCGTACTAATAAAAGACTTCACATAACAAAGGCTGGACTCTCCTTGCATCACCCACGTGTGGCCACGCTGCCTCCCCCCCACCCCCAACCCCCCACCATCTCTTCAGGGTGAGAACACACCACCTTGGTCTGTCACAGCTCTCAGACTAACACATCCATCACTCGCAAAGCTCCATCAACACACACCCATACAGACAACACACTAGATTACGATTTCCATGACTTTTCTGACTGTCAGTAACACATTCTGGAGCAAAAGACAAAAGGTAAACAAGGGACTGTTTACCATCCACGTGCTGCACAAGCTGGGACCTGGAGGTAGTGTCAGTGCTTTTTTTTTTTTCTTCTTGTAACCTTTTTTCCGATTCACCCTGAACTTTCGGGAACATTCTCAAACACAGCTGTGTTGTTCTAGGATTCAGCGCCCTAGCTTCAGAGGATTTTTCAGTAACATTGTGCAAGCTCTGTTGTGTGCTTTGAAGTGACTATTGCAGGAAGTTCTCATCCAGACAAAGAGCCAGTAAGAGTTTTCCAGATGTTACACCCAGGATTTCACCGTGTGCCACCTTATCCATTGTGTACTTCTCCAATGTCCTCTGAGCCGCTGGTTGCCCGAAATCTCTTGGGAATAGCATCGTAGTCCCTCTGATGACAGATGCTTTAGATGTGAATGTTGTGGTGGCGAACCTTACCGGAGTCAATGTCGACCCGTCGGGCCTCAGCGAAGGCCAGGAAGGTGCAGAGACCCAGCAGGTTCACTGTGGTGATGAGGGCGAACACAGTCGCCCATGAGCCTGTCGCCTCAATGAGATACCCAGAGAAATACACCATCAGGACCCCTGCAAACGCACATTAAAAGCATTTTTTACCACAAAGCTCACAGCCTTTTACACGTGATTGTTGAGTTTTCCGCAGAGAAAACGTCACAGTTTATTTCAGATTCCTCACAGGACCACCAACTGTCATCCTCTGCTCCTCTGTTTTATTCATCTGACAGACTCGCCACTATCCTCCCTTGATGAAATATTCATGGCTCATAGGAGCGGGCCCGATTGACATGAGACACATCATCTCAAAGTTTGAATTTAAAGAAGAGGATGAATAATTTTACTTGATACATGTTTAACTAACTTAAAAAGAAAAACATTAAACATCAGCTGCTACTGATGAAAGACTCAACAAAGACATCCGTACTCACCTGAGAAAGCACCGCAGGTATTCATAACACCTGGAAAAAGAAAGGCAGACACACACTTAAAATTTTAAAAACTTGTTTGAAATTTCACCTGTGGTTGAAAAAAAGATCTGTGACAACAGAACAGACATTTTTTATAAAAAATGTAGAAACTTTAATAAGGAATTTTTGAAATGTTTGTGTTTTTTAACTCACCAAATAGAGCTCCAGCACAGGAAGGAGCAAGATCTTGTACATTAACTGATACACCGCTATAAGAGAAATGCACATTAGCTATTACATCATAGAAGGTGCTTAATTGAGTGTGAGGCAATGTGTTGAATTGCCTCAGAGTAATAATAAAAAAGATTTAAAAAAAAGACAAAAGTGATGTAATGTGTACAAGTCAAACATGTAAGAAACTGCTATGTGGTGCTATCGTTACAGAAACAAATGCAATGGTTTAAATTGCTATCACAAAGAGAGAGGGTATGAAACAAAATGGTAACACAAAACAAGGAACTCTGAGTGTAACCCCTGGGGAACACCACATTTAAATCTAAAACACAAGCATGAGGAGCGTCTCAGTGTCAGTACCTGTGACTGAAGGTGGTGAGACCCATGGTGGCTGACACAAATGCTACAGCCCAAGGAAAGGTGGTGGTGCCACACAGAAGAAGGGTAAATATACTGGACACACCCATGGAGAAAAACTAACAGAGGAACGAACGCACACAAAGACAGACACGTTAAACAGTTACAAAAATGCAATACAATTGTAAAGAGGAAATAAGTACACACCTTGGACTAATTCAACAATGACACTTAACAATGTCCTTTTTTTTTTGTTTGTTTTTACCTGCATCAACTTCCTCACAGAGGCTGTATCATAGCCTGCGTGGATCAAGAGATAAGTTAGGACAGGCATGTGATTTTTAAATAAATTATACTTCTATGTGATCCTGGTGCCCTACCCTGACTGATCAGGTGGTCAGACAAGCAGCCGCTGAAGAGGGACGAGGGGATGGCGATCAACCAGGGAATGACATTGAACACCCAACCCTGTGAGGGACAACACAATGAGAAATGACTTGACCAGAAACAGCAGGAGACATTGAGAAGATCGAGTTTGAAGGTCATTGTCTGATTGTTTGGTTTTAACTGGTTTGGTCAGTCAGTTTATCACTCTGGTGCTAAATAAAACAAAGCGACATTTAGTGGATGGATTTAGATCCATGGACCCTTTTTCGGGACATTCTTGGTACCCAGAGGATAACACCCACTGAAATTGGTTATCCCCTGACAGGCTCTCTAGAGCAACTTCCAGGATGGATTTAAGGCAATACTATTATCTAATACTATCTTATGATATCTAAACCATCTTATGATTGCCATAATTAATTCTAGCAACTTTGACAAACTCTTAACTTTTCAACCTGCACATCTAATTTGTTTTTTGTCCTGTGAAAAAGGTTACATCGGCTAGGCCAACTGGCCCCACATGTTTGTTCATTCATGTCTTTCACAGGATGCATCATAATTACTTTGTTAATCACCTGACCGTTCCTCGGGTTCCCCCTTACCAGCAATACTAATAGCAGTGCCATCAGCCAAAGCTATACTTTTCCCTTAGCGCTAATTGGCAAATGTTAGCGTATTCAAGTCCTTGACAAACTCAATGGACTTGTTAATGTTATACCTTAAGTATTTAAGATGAGCGTGTTAGCTGTCTGAGACTGTTAGCAAGTACAGCCACAAGAAGCTGCTGCCACAGCTGTGAGTCTTAATACATAATGACACTTTTGGCTTTAGATTTTGTATTTGTATCTCCAAAAAGGTGATACAATACAGGATGAAAAGATGGATACCTTGGCTTCAGGGAAAGTGTCTTTGAAGAAGGTCGGCAGCCACGACAGAAGAGTGAAAAAAGTGCTCGCTGTGCAAAGGTGCGTTACAATCACAGCACTGGTCAGTGAGGGAAAAGACAGAAACGGACAAAATGAGTGCAATGCATATTTATTACTATCAAAGTTTGATTTACAAGTGTTGTAGAAAAATTATTTGCCAATATTTTGAACATTGTCTCATGATTTGACGAGAGCCTGTATCTGTGCCTCTTGTTTAACAGCCATTGTTTTATGTCTAATTGTTTTGGGGTCTAGCCGGGTTAATGTGTTTGAGAGCTTCAAGAGTTTGAAAACATTTTAAGGCCACAGATGTCACACCATCATTAGATTTATTATTCTTGATGTGGATATCCTACATTTTAAAAAGAAACAGAGGTTCTCTCTCTCTCTTTGTCACAGCGATGAGCAAATGAGCTGCATTCAGTATAAAAATATCTCGCCCATTAGGAGAGACTGGAAAGACGTGGAAGAAGTCAATATCTCAGACATACTAATAGATAAGGCAACCAGAGACTAGGCTGACTATTCCCAAATCTGGCACATTAAATAATTCAGAAAATTGATTTGTTCCAGAAATAACCATATAGAGTTGTGGCATGTTAAGAGGGATGTGTTTTTATACATTTTTACATTCTTCATTTTAAATCATTTTTCAAGAATAGAAAATATTCTAGAATATAATATCCCTTATTTTGTCCTTTATTCCCATAAAATGGCATTTCCAAAAAAAGTGGTGACACTGTGGTAAATGTTAATAGAAAATCGGAAGTGATGATGTTTATTAATCGAAAAAACAGTTTTGTTAATTAATGTCTTGTGAAAGAGAAGCAGATTATATAAGATTAGTCTTCTTTCTGCTCCTTTTCATTCAAAACTTAAGATTTTGTGTTTGTTTTTTAATTGTATTGTTTGTTTGAATTAAATACCTTTACAAAAAAAAACACAAAAAAATAAAAGAGATCGGTAAGCCCATTTTCAATGTTGTGCTGTGCCAGCAACATGTATCAAAAAGGCTGGGACAGGATCATGTATAACCCTCTGAAGCATGACCTCTTCAACTTTTACACTCATTTGCTGCCACTGTCCTAACTTTTTTTTAAATATGTTATCTGCATCAAATTCTAAATGGGCAACTAATGTTCCTAAAACAATGAAATGTCTATTGCCTATGTATGTGCTCTCACACGGACAAACAAACACACACTTCTTTCTCTTTATCTCACCAGACTGCAGGTTGTTTTAGGAGCCGTAACCAATGTCTCCTGGTAAGTTTGGACTGTGTTCCACTGTTTCCCAGGGACTCCAGGGTGATGATAGGCCCTGCAAACATAGGTGAGGTCAGCAAACAAGAGACTCCAATTATACAAATAAGCAGCCACGAGATAGCAGCAAGCAGCGATAAGAGTGGATAGAGTCCACGCTGTAAGAGCCTCTCTTACCTTCTCCTTTGAGCAGATATTTCCACATGCAGTACGCCCACAGGACGGAGAGCAGACCAGACACATAGAAAACACTCTCCCAGCCATACAGGTCCAACATGAGAGAGCCAGCCCCTCCAATCACCAGAGTGCTGAAAGACAAACAAGGTCATAACAAGACATGACAGGTCGCAGACACACCCATGTAACAAGATGTTTCAACATTCAACGTCTGAACTTGAAGCTGTTTAGAATAAATGTGTGCATACATATCATCAATCACTACTTTTTAAACACTATCTGATTTGATTATGTCAAATCAGAAACACAGCTTTTAATTTAACCCCTCCTTTTTGTGTTCTTGACAGTCATTTTCTAAGAAAAAAAACCCTGATTGTCCCATCTATTGCACAACACTTGACTCACCCCAGATAGGAGCCACTTCCCACAGTGCTCATTAGGAAGCCTCTCTCACTCTCCACCACCTTCTGAGAGCACAGACTCGCCAGAGAGGGGTAATGAACTCCTAAAACCAGGGCACAAAACACAAGATCGAGAGTGTCAAACAGAAAACAAACCCAGCAATCGAGGAAGGATTTTTACCACCTAATCCCAAATTCAACATTTATAAAGCTGAAGGAGAATAATTTGAGGCATGTAAAATCACAAAGCAAACACTTTGGCGATGCATACATTTCAGATATGGGAATGTCCTCACCTGTGTCTTGACACAATAGCGTGTTGACAAAAGTGAATGCAGACACTACTAAGTCACCCCACACAGAGGAATTTGTTTGTTCCCAAGCCAAAAAAAAAAAAAAAGACAAAGGGAAGATGACTATGCCACAAATTGTACATGCTGCAGGTCAAACCGGTCACCAACAGAAGTGTTAACATGCCATGTGGTTTCTCATGAGATTAAATAGTCATCGATTCCCCCTTTGATGAAAAAAAAAAAAATGTTTTCTCAATTGTAATTCTAAATCCTAGACTTCAACTTTTGACGCAGTCATGAGCTACAGATAAAAGTGTCAAGGATCTGAAAATTAATCAAAAATCCGTGGAACTCTGAAAGTTACTTTACTGTAACTCAAACAACGCATTTCGCCTGTAGCTTCCTCAGGTTCACCTGTAGCTACAGGCGAAACGTGTTGTTTTGTTCGCTCACAATAAAGTTACAGTAAGGTCATTTTTAGTGTGCCATGGAATTTTTTGATTTATTTTTCAGATCCTTAACACTTTTATCTGTAGCTCACGACAGTTTAAAGTGAAGTTACTGATTAATTTTTTTATGCCATGTTTCTTCAACCGTGCGCACCTGAGAACGTAAAGGCTGTGCACAGGGTACCATGTTGGTCAAGGATCTGAATTGGTTTTAAAAAATACAGTTAGGGCAATGTTGTCTGTCAAGTTAGATCCATTTTTGTTCCTAAAAAGAGCTTTTTAATAAGCAGGGTTAAAAGAAAATACACTAAGTGCATATTCAATCATACAATACATTATTTAGAGAAAGCTAAAATTATAATAAATCTCATTCAAACTCTTTCAAGAGCAGTCGCTCTCACCCTGCAACAGGCCCATGAGGAAGCGAGCCAGCGTCATTGAGAGGATTGGCTGAGAGCAGAAGTGGGCCAGGATCGGGGTGAAGGCTGTCATCGACCCCCAGGCCGCTGCAGACAGCAGGAGCACCTTCTCACCTCCCACCCTAAGGAAACAGAATACAAAGTGTCTGTTTAAGCTTGAATGGTTATGCTTTTTATCAACTCAAAGTTAAGATAGGGTGCTGCACAATATGGACATAAGCAGTTTTTATTTGTATGACACCGTGGGCCTTCAAGAGTTAACAATATGAAAATACAGAGGAATCATTTGGCTGTCTGCGCTGCATTATCTGTCACACACAAATAGACTGCTTGCGTCACTGCCTGCCATGATGTCATGTGGCAGTGTTAGCGTCCTTGTCATCAGCCGTCATCAGTGTAGACATTCTAACATCCTTCACCAAGTATTGACTCACTACACGACTGTTTGACCTTATTACTTCCCCACCTGTCACTGACGTAGCCTCCGAACACTTGGGTGAAGCAGTAGCCCCAGAAGAAGCTGCCCAGCACCATCCCGGTCTCCCTCTTGCTCCAGCTGAACTTCTCCGCCATGCTGACGGCGCAGATGGGCATCGCCACACGGGCGCAGTACAGGAGGCATGTCCCGAGCAGCAGCACCACCGTCCACACCCTCGCCACCGGCCTGCACAGGAGGGAAGCAGAGAGGAACGAGTGAGGTTGAATGAAGGCAACATTTGGAGGGAAACTTTGGACTTAAAAACTCCCCTGACAGGGGATGTCTTATGTAACTAGGGGAGGGAAGTACAGCTTCATATTTGGTTGCACACTAAAAACATTTAACATGGGCATAGGCAGATTCTCTTTTTTTTTTTTTTTTTTTTTTTTAAAGATTTTTTTTTGCGCTTTTTTTGTGCCTTTAATGGAGGGATAGGACAGTGGATAGAGTTGGAAATCAGGGAGAGACATGGGAAGACAGATAGGGAATGACATGTGGGAAAGGAGCCACAGGCTGGATTCAAACCCAGGCCGCCTGCTTTGAGGACTACAGCCTCCATGGGGCGAGCGCACTAACCACTGTGCCACCTGCAGCTTCTCTTTTTATCAGTGGTACGATATTATTAGTTATTTTTAGGTTAAACTGAAAAAGTTTAAATGCAACATCTACAAAAAGTATGTAAATTACTTGACTAGTAAGGTGCAAAACCAAATAACAACACAATGATGGCTGCACTCTTAGAACATTAAACATAGCCATACTCGACTTCTATCCTCATTAAAGTGAGGATCATGTTAGACTACTTTTTCAGTGAAATCTGTTCTGCGTTTTAGGGCTAATAAGTCATCAAAGAAAAGATGTGAGCTCAGGGTATGGGTCGAGACAAAATGAAAATGTGTGGACTATTTTTTTTTTTTTTTTTTTTAAATCGGCTCAGCTCAGTTAACCCAAAGAAGTCATTTAGACGAATTTGGTCAAACCAAACAAACCATTGATGGTTGCACTCTTAAGCACGTCAAACATGGCCTTAAAGGGCCTCTTTGTTGATCTTCTACACTCAAGTTAAACTCATTATTTCGGTCTGGGATTGTTTGGTGTGGTGAACTATGGTCTTAAGTTATTCTCTAAATGACTTCATGAGTATGGCACATCTGATAAAGTCTTACTTCCTTGTCCACAAACTTTTTGACTTCTGTGGCAATGAACCACGAAAGGCCACAGATGATACGTGTCATTTGACTCAAAGGCACTTTGGTTACTATGGATGTTTAATGATGCAGGAAAAGACACGAAACAGGAAGAATAGTGATTAAGCTGACAACATGCCGAACATTATTAGCCTCTGAGGAGATAAATGTTATCTGTTCGAGCAGCTGTTAACACCAAAAAAAAAAAAAAAAAACAAGTTTGATGTCAACATCAAGTCTGTATTTAAGTCTGATCTATCTGTTACCTGGACCAGTTGGTGTTGTGTTCAGGCCACTTCTTGTGACACCCATTGTCTCCGATCTTGTCCGGCGGGTGGTTGTCCTTGTGACAGACCAAATCTGGACTATAGTTCTTGCCATATTTTTGAATTACTGCCATTCAACGCAAGGAAACAGCAGCAGCCCTCCTCTCAACCGCGTCGGCTTTTTTTTTTTTTTTCCGGTCGATCCGTCAGAAAAAGTAAAGGCTGTACGATCACAGAGGGGTGGGGGGGGAGAGAGAGAAAAAAAAGACCTTCTCAGAAAGTAAAAGCGCGATCAAATCACGGGTTTTCTACAATTTTAATCCATAACTTCAAGGAGTAGACTCATGGGGAACAGGGCTGATGTGATCACGAAGCTGGGCTGCCGTATGGAGCTCTTGTTTTTTTCTGAAGCCCGAGGAGGGGTAATCCACGTGTCAGTATTTCCTCTCCAGCCTCCTCTTGACCCAGCCGCGCAGTTCTTCTTCTGATCGGTAGGGTTAATCAGGAAGTGATTTCTCTCTTTCTTAAACCTCGGTTTCACCTGTCTAGTCCGCCAAATCATCCATTACAGTATCATTTAAAACAACGCCGGAAAGAGACGCCTCTGGCTCCGGCCCCTCTCCCATCATGACTATGCAATTATAAAAAAAAAAAATGTATCTGTGCTTGGAGCCCTCGGTGGAGCACCAGGATGTAGTCTCCTCCTGACCCGTCCCCGCCGGATGATGATGATGAAGAAGTGATGGAGCCCGTGCTTAAGGAGAAGCTGCTGTGAGGAGGGGAATTGCGCAGTCAGAGCCTACAAGGTTGTTAGTCCATCTGCCCCTGGTTGTTTGAGTTTACAGGCGTCGTTACATAAGACTCTGCAGTCTGCACAACTTTTAGATGCTCTCGGTGTGATGGTGGAAAATGCACTCACATCTCTTCCTCAAGTTAAAGTGACACCACAATTTTTAAGCTCCACTGTAACTAAGGAATCCCAGGTATTTTCTTCAATAAAAGTAACTATTTACAGTGTTAGAATAAGTATGGAAGTATTTAATTACTTCTTTAAAGGCCTACTTTTATGACAGTGATTCAGAGTGACATCCCCCTTCATACATTTAGAAGCACAAGCTAATGGTTCTTTACACAATTACACAATATGATTCACTAAATTAGCAGTCAATACAATCTTTAACTTCTTCAACAAGTCAGTCTGTAAATTAGAACTGAGTTATTTTGGCTACTCCAATAAATTGGCTAAATTGTATGTTGATCACGAGTCATTTTTCTTCAGTGTCAGTGCTTACTTTAATACTTTGTTTATTTTGCAATTACACTTTTATTGAAGGGACCCCATGATGCATAACTTGTAGTTGTGTTTCAGTGTCTCTGAATGTATTCCCACTCGAGTACTCCCTCTACAAATGTTTTTTTTTTGCGCCTCCTCTTCAACAACTCAGGGGGAAATACTGAATTTCTTTACTCCAAACATTGATCTAAATTATAAAATAAGCTGCTCGACTGTAGAATAAACTGTGCAGCTGTGTATGTGAAAGTTAAAGTTCCCACTTTGGCTCACTGCCATACTGAAATGTAACTTGCAATTTGCAGCAATATACTTAAAGAATCAAAAAACATAGATATAACTCAACCTGCAACCTACACTTATTAGGATAATATTATTAGTTAAGGATACAAAGTTTAGGTAGTTTCATTCAAACAAGTTAGAACCAGGCATCGTACCTACTTTAATTGATTTGCTTGAATACATTTACCCAGTTACTTCTTTCCTCGGTTGCTGCACAAACTCTTAATTTCCAGAATTAAAAACACACCAAGCGTCAAGGTCATCTGATTTGCGCAGTTTAAAATTTAACTTTTATTGCAAAATAATATCCCATCAAAAAAAAAAGCACATCAAATTTAGCAAAAAGAGCTACTTATACATGTAAATAATCCATCTGTAAAGTTTCTCCATGTCTGTGGACATAGATGTATTTATTCACATCTTTAATAATCAGTGATATTTGATAACAGTATGAATCTGAGGCTGCTTTTATGCTTGAGCAGTCACAGTTTGCAGAAATCTTGCCCTGTTCCACTTGTTATATGCTACTGCAATGTGACTATGTGTTCCTCTATCTCAGCATATTTGTAAAATATCAAGCAATAAAGCATTATGAGTCTAAAGCTGAATTTAACTTTCAATTTCACAGTAGTTTCAAACATCCCGAGTATCTCACTTTGCCTAGTGCCGTCAAATAGATCACTTTCTAACAGACTATAGCTGAAATATTTGTGTTTTGTAAGAAAAAAAGGTTTGTGTGTATGTGTGGCAGTGCACATTAAGCAAACTTTTTTTTTTCTGAAACGTCAAAGTTCGCCCCCTCTTAGTGGTCACACACCAAAAGTGACAGCCTAATTTAGGCTTCATTCACGTCCTCTTATGCAAGCAACTTTCCCTGCCAACAGACAGAAAAACTAGTGAACTCATTTTACATAAACAAATATGTAAATAATTATACCAAGTAAAATAATGGTCTGCATGTTACTTTTAGTGTGAGAAGTCATTTTGAAATGCCATCAATCCAGTTTGCACCTTCTACGTTATTAAAGTATCAAAAAGCAACCCTTACAAAAAAGAAAAGGTTGAGCTCTCTATGAGTCAGTTTGTTGAGGGGTATAAATAGATAAAGGAAACGTGCCCTGTTGTGGTATGTTTTCACTGTGGGTCCTTATTTGGGGTCTTCAATGGTTCCCTTGCTGAGGTCTGTCATTTTGGGATACTTCACTTTCTTTTGGTCAAGTTCATTTTGAGCCCAAAGAAGCAGCTTCAGAAGTTTGGCCAGCTTGGGTGTTGACTCTCTGTTTTCATAGTCTAGCACACACTGATTCACTTCACTCCAGACCTGAAAGGCAAAGACATAAACATGGCATTGCTTTTTACATGGTCATTATTTAACAGAGGAAAATGTATAGACATAAAGCTTCACAGGAATTTCATTTTATACAATAAATGCCCCCAATCCTAAACTAGTCTGCAAAATGCTGCATCAGACAGTGCCCGCATGCAGCAGAAAACACAACAACACTTATTGATTGGTGTTATCGTAGGTTTCACGCAGATTAAAATGATCTATTCTGTGTACTTTCTATATAAATAAGGTTGGTAAAAGTGAAACCCGAGACTAGGCAGAGATTTACTTATATACTTTGACCTTACCTTTTGTCTCTGCATCATATTGAGCAGGTCTCCAAAAGGTGACTCCTCAGGGTTGTCGAACGCCAGCAGGGCCAGCGTCCTCTCCATCTCGGTCAGACATTCTCGGCTCTCTTCGCCCTGCTCTGCTAACTGAGACTGAGCGAATTCAAGGGCCGCTTCAGTCTCCCTCAAACGAATCAGCTCAATCAGATGCTGCTGCTGCACACGCAAAAAAGTGAAAAAACGGGAGTAGTAAGTTTCCCAGTAAAAACAAAAGGCGGTGAGACGAGACGAAAACAAAAATGACCATGAATCGTAAGTTTACCTGTAGGTGAAAGTAGAGGTAACGGTTTGTATCCAGCAGTTCTGGGTGCAGACTGTTGATCAGTGCAATGGCATCCTGGATCTGTCCCTTCAAGATCATCTCTCTGATCTTGATTCTTTCATCTAGGGAGTCCAAATCCACACTGGGCTCGATCCCTGACTCCATTCTGAACTTCTCTGCTGCCTCCTTGAAACCCTCTGTTGGGACAAAAACTGAATTGAAACATTGCACGGAGACAACTGAGAGAACAAATGTAAGCATCACAAATAAATCGGCACTTCACCTGTCACAAGGTAATTCATAATAAGCCTGTTCATGTCCGCTCTCTGAATGTGGACATTGTTGAGTTTATCCATCCACTCTTCCCTTGTTATGTCCTCCGGCTTCTCTGCATAACTCATTATGATATATTCCTTAAGGAGTAGAGAAGTATAGATTATGAGGTGACAAGAAGACATTTCTGGCACATGCAATTTTTTTTTAAACACATGAGAAGGATAATTATATAACGTTATAAGGGTGTTAGTCTTTAGCTGTTCAGTTTGACAACGACACAGCACCGGAAATCCTACATCAAAACAGTTCGGGCCTACGATGAAAAACACAACATTGAAGCCAGACTTTCGAAAACACAAATCAAAACAAAGACAACTTCACTCTTTCTGTTTTGATAACATCGACTGAACGCACCCGGAACTAGTGCTTTTCATACTGCATCCCCTTCCATCTCCACATGCAATTAGAAAGCTATGAAAAATGTAACGGCTCTTTTATTCACATTACCTGAAAATTGTGTCGCTACTTCCCAGCAGTAGCTAGCAAGCAAGCGGAAGATAGCAACTTCTTCTTCACTTGTTTCCGGCTACGCATGCGACACGGCCGAACGTGCTGCCGCCCCCGTGAGCTGATCAGAAGCATTGCATGACTCGCTGATTACTGCCAACAAAACGCCCATGAGATGTAGTTTAAAACCAAGGATATTTTTTTAGATTCATACGTTTTTTTTTTTTTTTTTTGTCAATTTTATTTCATTAAAAAAACCCAATAAAGTTAAGAAAAACAAACAAACATAAAATCTCAAATTTTGAATGAAAAGGAGCAGAAAGAAGATTATTCTTATAATATCTGCCCCTCTTTTACAAAATATTAATTAAAACAAAACAGAACACTTAATTAGACATTAATTAACACTCAAATATCAAGATGTTCAGTGTAGACTACTGGTTGATGGCACTAGATAGAAAATAATTAATTTATATTTTTAAGAACTTGGGACAAAATTTCTTGTAAACATACATTAATCATTGTTTTTAGACAGGGTTATTTAAAGTTTGTGTATCTTTTTTTTTTTTTGCACATAGAAGCAAATTATTGGCAACATTTTGCGTCTATGGTTTGTAATAAAATACTTAGTATGGGCCTACAAGATACATTGTTTGGCCTAACCCCAGTCTATGGGCTTAACCCAATTAGGTTTCACCAGTTAATAACTTTTAATTTCATGCAGGCTACGTTATTTATTTCGTCTTGCCTATCTTCTCGGTTCCATATACTACTGACATAAACTTGAATATATTAGTAACAAGTGACAAGCCTAAGCCCCGCCTCCCTCTCCATGACTACAGTTTACTGTTTCCACGGTAACGACGCTGTTAACTTTATTCTCAGAGATCCCTTCGCATGTTAAATTGGTTAACTTCAGTTAATGGACATGAGCAATTAACATACCTCCCAAAACGCGAAAATATTGAATCAAGGAGAGGGTAAATTAGTCTGCTGTTTATCACTGCAACAATTCTATTCTTTAAACTATTGACTTTTACGACTGTGTCAAAACGTCAAATATAGGCTATGTAGTCGGCCTATAATGATAGGTGAGCTTGGCAAGCATAGGCTACGACAAGTGTAGCTTTGGTTATCTTCACCTACGGTTCTTTCAGTGGCTTGTTGCCGGAGATGGCCACTTCTCCCGGACTATTAAAAGCCACAGCGGTGAAGGAGATGTCAAAGTTTCCGGTCTTGCCCCCGATTGAAGGAACGCAGCAGCGGGATGAGGTCGCACAGGCCACTGCAGCAAAGGACGAGATAGCTCAAAGAATACGTGTTCAGAAGAAACTACTGCTGCACAGGAGGAGTAAAGTGCAACAACAACAACTCCATGAGATACTGTATGTTTCCAACTGAGCTATGGCAGCTTTAGCTACTGTGTCAGTCATAGCCAAATATAGAAATAGAATGATTCCTGCATATAATATGGAGTAAATTATAATAGGCTGTAGACCACTGGGGCTGTCCTGCAATGTCATGTTTTTGTTGGATTATTGATTACAGGATGTCAAGAGCAATCAAAGCCTACCGACAGAGCAAAGAGGTGGAAGCAGTTTGCAGCAATTCACCAGAGCCACAGTTTCCACCTTCTGTATGGCAAATACAAATATACCTATCTCACATTTGAAATAAAAATGTACATTTAAATATAGCCATAATGCATGCATTTTAATAATTCCTTGCAGATGCTTAGTGAGGAGCGGAAGCGAAGGGTAAGATACATTTTTGTTTTTAAAACTGACCTCTTAAAAGAAGAAACACCATGTTTTAGTGTGTCATGCCTCTCTTATTTTTACTTTAATCTCATGCACAGATGAACTATATGTTTCTGAAGCGCTGCGTGGAGAGCAGCCCAGGGGTTCCAATCCAGCAGCATTGCATAGACTCCATTGTTGCCAGAGTTCCACATAAACTCCAAGAGACTCATAAGTCCAAAACACTTCTACAGGAGCTCTGCAAGGAAGTCAGTAATGACTTCCACAATGTGATCGTCAGGCACACAGGTATTGCCGTATTGTTATTTGAATGTGTATTAATGTTTGCAGATTACATGTAGATGAAAGGTGAACAATGTCTCATACCATATTCACCTCCTTCAGTGGACACAGTACTAAAGAATCCACAGAAAGAAGGACCTAACTCAGAGGCAGCTACACAAACAGAGTGAGTGTCTTATGGAGACAAATGGTTTACAAAAATATATTCGTTTGTATTTTTTTTGGATGTCCATTCATGATGTATAATTCAAATCTTTGGCAGACTTGTTGATTTCTCCCAACCTTGGCATCAAAGTTTTACCAGTAGCCGCAAGCTTATGCAAAAAAATCTACACGTTCTTCACCCCGTGATGCAAACCATCCTTGATATTGGCTACGTGACTTTTTCTTCACTAATCCTGGTTGATCTCGCTGAATGTCGGTAAGTAAAGGCACTATGAATGCATAACACTTTGAAAATGATTGCAGAACTATAATATTGCCCGTGACAATTGAAGACTTCTTTTTGATTTGAAGTTTGTTTCTCCTGCATCAGGGCTTCAGGACCCGTAGACTGTAAGGGCCTGCAGAACAAAATGGCTGTGCAGTGTAAGAGGACAGAGGACCGTATCATGAATACTTGGTTTCCAAAAGTCATCAGCTTATTGACAAGTAAGGAAACACTGAGGAGAGTTAAAGAGGAGAACCAGGACTCCTTCTTCAGATGTGCATCAACCCTCATCTCAAATCAGGTAAGATATTGCTGACCGGAGTTTGACTTTGAGAAGAGCAAGAATAAAAAAGATTTGTTAAGATATTGTTTGTTTCCACATTAAAAAAATAAAAGTTAATACACAATTTGTGCTGTTGTACTCTGCTTAGTTATATTTTTGGCAACCCATCTATTAGAAGCACTGCAACATCTAAACCTGTACTATTTATCTGAATGTATAGCCCATCCTGATGCATATGTTTGTTCTGGATTCTGTATTTAGTAGTTAATTCATTTTGCCATTTTTTGATAACAAAATAATGGAAACCATAGCATTCTTGATGTATGTTCCTTTTTGTAAAACATAACTTTCTGGACTTCTGCCTTCTGTAAATTCCCAGTTGAAATCGGTGCTTCACAAAAGTGTAGAGGAGTTTGTCGGTTTGTTTGATCCAAGCAATGGTCAGCGCCTGCTCATCTTTCGCATGGCCTTGACCTTCGATGATGAAAAGATGGAAATTTATCCCACCTTACAAGATCTAAAAGCTGCTGTCTTTGAGATTCTTTATGCCATTACAAATACACTGCAGGTGGGTCATATGTAAAAATAATTTAATGTAAAAAAGACCACTTAAGGCCACCATCTTCATGTAAAATAGTATTTTGATCTATTTTTTTTATCTTAACATTGACCCACAGAAAGTACAGACCATCCAGTCATGGCTTGTACAAGGGGCATCAATTTTTGTGGATGCAAAGGTGGCCGATCACATTCTTTCTTGGGCTAAGGTCACTGTCAAGTCCACCCTGTGCAAGAATCTAGAAGAACCTGACAAACATTTCCAGAACTATGGTGATATTTCCAGAATAAAATTATTTCCTACAATTGACCCATGATTTTACATTTATTTGTTGCTGACTTTTTCTCTCTTATTTTGCAGTTGATAACTATGACTGGTTGGTCAATGGAACTGCTAAAGCTAGGTGGAGAAATTCGTGAAAGAGGAGCATTCTTTTGAGGAATACACTAAGGTAAGAAAAAAAGTCCAAGTCTAATTCTAGCTGAATATGTGTATCATTTGTTCTTTTATTATTGAATTGAGAATCCGTTATCAGAAAATGAATACAATATTTGTTATTTTATTTGTTTTTGTATTTTTCCATTTTTTTGCTCAGATAAAAGCATTGCCTGCACCTCGCCGAGAGCACATCGTTCATTTTAATGCAATACATACAAGACGCAGCTAGTTTTTGGTTTCATATTAATAATAATTTTAAAAAATGACATAAAAAAACTTTTTTTTGGGGGCAATATGGGATTCTCAATTGAATATTATTAACAAGAAATTACAAACAGAATTTGCAGCATATGTCATGGACTTTCTGGCATTTCATCAGTTTTTCTGATGACTGTCAGTGTGTAATGTCACTTCTTTTTAAAGCAAGTGGAGGAGTTTCGTTCTCTGTCAAAGGAGATTAGCAGCCTCCCAGCCAAAGCCCACTTCACAATGGTCCATCTGGACTGTGAAGAGCTTAAGCAAGGCCTGGCCAACAAAGCCAAAAACTATGCTGAAATACTTCTGAAGAAACTCATCATCAGCCACCGAGAGCAGAATCTACAGTGAGTCACTTCCTCTAACATTCTTAAACAAAAAAAGAAACATTTTCTCTGTGTTCAAAATGCTCTATTTTTTTTCTAACAACCCATTATGTGTCCGTTCAAAGGATCTGCTCAGAATTTGAAACCATCAGCGAGAAGGCTGTGAAAATACCAGAGACTACAGAGGAGATGACTGAGCTCATTGGTTACATTCATTTAATTAAGACAAGTGGTATTGCACAACTTAATGAAAAAATAAAGGTTGGTAACCAGACTATTGGGTCTACTTTATGTATACCACAGCATACCAGATTTATGTCTGTAAACTCATATCATCAAAATTCTAACCTGATATACTACAACACTGTGTCCTGACAGGAAGCCTACTGCAGACTGACCTACCTCCTGCATGTCCACACCATTGAGCCAGAGGATCAAGAACTGAATTCAACTCTCTTCCTCTGGCCACAGAAAATCCTCCATGCCTTTGAGCTCCATGATGAGGTAATGCCTCTCTATGTTTCACAATATTATATCATAGTTGCTTGTCATGGAGGGCCTGATTCTGGACAGTTTTTTCCCTTTTCCAGGTGCTGCAGAAAGCCAAGAAGAAAGGGGAACAGGAGTTGATTGCTAGAAGAGAAAGATTGATTGTTCAGCTGGAAAAGTTGGGTCGCAGGATAGAGGAGTTCCCATTGTGCTCTGAGCTGGATATGATGCAACAGGTGAGGTCTTAATGGAATTTTCAGACACATC